GAAGGCCTGGCGCAATATGGTTCATGGGGTCACGAAGAGTCGGACACGACTTAACGACTAAACAACAACAATCCTTTATTACCAACACGATTATGCAAACTGTATATTGTAGTTCATTAACTAAATTTTAACAATATGTCTATATAGTGAGAAGAATTTTTGGAAGGTAATTTTGGGGAATGTGTAAAGCCACCAAAGCTTAGGATGAAATGAGTTTGGTATACTGAACCAAGAATTGAAAAAATGATATTTTAAATTATGCTCATTTCCGCTTGACTTACATGATATGTGTACTACATCTGCAAAAGCTTTGTATCTGCTCCAAGTGATAGTTCTATCCTGGAGTCAGACAGCTATTTTTAACTATTGAACACATTTGGAATTTTAGCATATGTCATGGATGCTGTCATAAAATGGCTGCCATGGGAGATGGCTTTCACATTCACCAGATGCCTGTCAAGTATATGCTCTCAAAATGGCTGCTGTAATTGGTGTGAACAAAACACCTGTTTGCCAGACTGCCCCAACAGTACCTTCAGCTTCTCAGCATGTTCTCCATCATGTTAGTTTATCTCTTTTTTTTTCTGGAAAGGTGGCGTATTTTTAAGGAAAGCATTAGGCTTTAGCCATCCAGAGTCAACTTGGAAATAAAGCTAATATTAGAAGTGATGCTTTGATTTTCAGTATTTGAGTTTTCCATTAATATAAAAAGAATTTTTAAAAAGTTCAGTCAGATGGGGCAGACAATTTGGTAGATGTCACGCTAGGTGTCTTTGGTCATGTTGGTACCAGTGGGGAACATGTTGCTTATCTCTATGCTATATAATATCATTTAATTACCTGGTTTTGTGGTTCTCCATCTGTTCCAATAGCTTATCTTCCCTGGAATTAGACTGGTCTATAGTTTCCCAGACCTTGTCCTTCTTCTTCTGTTGTAATGCAGCATTGTAAGCACTCTTAGAAGAAAAAGATTGGGGCTATGAACAAATGGATTGAAATGGAAAAGAATTAGGATCAGGATTGGTTTGAATAAGGATTGGAATCAGAAAGAATTAAATAGCATATAAAAATAAAATGCTTTTTCTTATTTTCTCCAAATTCTTCAAAACATGAGTGCTCAGTTAAGCCAGACATAATGAGTAGGTTGGAGATGACTTGAATGAGACTCAAGAAGGAAGCTAACAATCCTCAAAGCCATTTTTGTTTGTTTTCAATTATGATTTATTGATATTGGTTGATTATTCCCTCTTTCTGTCCATACAACATTCAAGGTGGCTTGCAGCAATTAAAAATACAACTGGTATTGATTTTATTTTTATATTTAAAATTAAAATCAAAGCAAAATTAAAATCAGTATCTTACAATCAGTCACTTCTACATAAGCTTGGTGATAGAAGGAACAATGTAGTTGTGTTCAGGTCCTTTTTCTAAGGTGAGGGATTTGCATAACAAATGAGTAACAAAAACTTTTTTGAGAGTATGTTGAGACAGTAGAAAATTTTGAAACATTGTACTAGCAGGCCATCCAGAACTTGAATGGCACATATTTTAATACCAAGTAGACTTAAAGGAACTACTAACATATAAGAGATGAATACCTTTAATGCCTAACTGCACATTATTTTACATAGGAAAAATAGTATCTGCTTCCAACTCTTCTTTTGAGTGGTCTTTTGCAAGAGAAATAAAGTCTGTGGCATATTTGAATACCAGAAATAAATAGATTCTTGGGTAAAACAATGCTACCAAAATTAATAGATGATGGAACAGGTCAATTCTAAATTATTTGACATGGCTGTTAAATCATTTAGGAAAATCTATAGCAATACAATACCAATAATATTTTTATATATAAATAATGAATTCATGTCATACACCACCGCAGGGAGATATGCCAAAATGTGGCAATCAGCATTATAAGAAAAGTCTACCTTTGAATTATTAAAGGTCCATTTCATCCTTGAACAGGGAACATTCATAGTGGCGTGTAATACATATGTTGTGCTATTAATCTGGAAGGATTAATGTGCAGGAGTTCCTTTTAAGAAAAAAGACAGTTGTGGACTAATAAGCCTGCAGACGGGTGAATCTGTTTTCTATTACTCTAAAGCCACTGTCCTTCCAATGAGAGCCAGTAGATAGAATTCAGAGGAGAAGGAATTAACAGTTCCTTTGCCCTAGGCAATCATTGTCTAGAAGCCCTCAGAAAACAATCATATTAGGAGCAAATTTCTTCCCACGTTCAGTGCCAAAAATTCCTGGGAGAACTGGAGCCAGTAAGGTAGAACTAGCAGGGAAAGCATAGCTGAAGTGTTAGGGGCATTTTTTTTTTTTTTTTGGTGCTCCTTTCTCAGGTATCTTTACTCTTGCTCTTATTTTGTTCCTCTAATATATCTCTCTATGGCTGATTTGTTTAATGAATGCAAGTTTTCATTTATAGCATGGAGATCCTGTTTCTTCAACTAGCTAATTTCCCAAATATTTGCTTTGCTGGCTTTATTGATAATAAAAATCCATTTTTATAATAAAAATCCATTATTCTCCAGTGTTTTGAGTTGTATTAGCAACTACAAAATGAATTGTAACTCTTGACCTTGGTTGAAAGGGGAAACTGAAATAATTCATTTGAAAGCTTGGTCTTGGAGAAGAGGAAACTCATCTTCTTTTCCATCCAGAATCCAGGTGAAGAAGGTATCTCTCCACTCAAGAACAGATAGTGGCAATGTAATTGCCTGCTTTAATGGAACTTTTTTTTCACTTGGTGGAATATGTACCTACAGTTAGAGCCTGGGTCTGAAGTTCAGGGTGTTGATACCAAGAAATAATCAAATACACCTAAGTTTCTTTTTGTGATAGGTACCATCTGGCTACACTGACAATCAAGATAACTTTCATAGAGTGACAACAAACTAGAGTTAAGAAAATTAATTCCAATGATGCACTATTAAGAAAAACAGCACTTTTATTGTGCTCCAGTAACTTTGAAAATGAGATAGTGAAAAAATGTGTAAATATAGCATTTTGAAAGAAAAATGTGGAGAGTTACTTTCAGTAATTCGGTTTTGTGTATTTTAGAGCATATGGTTGTAATTTGTTTTTAGTGACTGAAGTGCGAAATATTGAGGATAAGAACTTTTTACTAACTTGATGACTATTATAATAAATCTATAAAATATTGAATCTATAAAAATGTGTAAATATAACTTTTAAAAGAAAAATGTGGAGAGTTATTTTCAGTAGTTCAGTTTTGTGTATTTTAGAGCATATGGTTGTAATTTGTTTTTAGTGACCGAAGTGTGAAATATTGAGGATAAGAACTTTTTGCTAGCTTGATGACTATTATAATGAATCTATAAAATTGACTCTCACAAAACTACAATAGTTAACTCTGATGGTGTCAATAGGTTAGTGTTAAAACTGATTAGCTCTATATAGGATTCTTTCAGTGCTTTTCTTTCTTTCATTAAATGTTTTTAAAACGTTTTAAAAACTTTTTTGTGTCCATTGTTGTTTCCTGAATTTATTAATTGAATTTATATGATATATTCTCATGGAAACAGTGAAAAAGCACTAACCACACATTTTACTGTAACAGTAGACCTGTACATCTAATTGTAATTAATTGTAATATACTTCTTTTGTGTAGCATTCATTAAATAACCAGTCAAAACAAACTCATTCAGTGTTGCTTATTCTCAGAGTCTAAAGTATCAGTGATAACTCAGTGTTTTACACAAGCATATACACTATAAATAACTATAGATGATTCAAAATAATAGTACAGTACTAATTATGACAGAATTGTATAGATTTAGAGTTTTAAATTTTGGGGACATGGGAATATTTGAATGTTTTAAATAGAAATGCACATTAATACTTTTTAGTCTCTAAGATAAATGGGGCATAAAGAATCTAATTAAATAAAACTAGCTACTTACAAAGAAACAATCACCATATTTATTTTAAAAACTCTTCCATTCCTTCCCCCTCAAAATCTACGTAAACATGTTTAAGGTGCAGCCATGTTTCAGTGGTATATACTGTATCATTATATATACCACAAGTTTAACCTCTGGCATCTTTAGCTGGGAAAAGATGTTCAGAGGCTAGAGATCCACTGCCAGCCATGGCAGAGGGTGTGGTTTTAGTGGGTTAATGGTCTGACTTTTATATGGTCACTTCAGTATTCACAAAAGCTAACTCTGTTTTTGCAGATGATAAATATGATCAAGATTCTGACAGAAAATGCAGATAATGTATATGAAAAAATAGTCCAGTGCCAAAAAGCAGGTAAGGACTTATTTTGCAATTTTGCATTGCATTCATATATTCTACTAAGCAGAAGGAATATACAACTTCAAAAATTTGTATATACTCCAAAATTCAGCAGATGAATTTTTCATTTATGAGTTTTGATTATATGAAAGAATGTTTTATATGGAATATTATTGCAAGAAACTTTTTTATTAGACTTTTTATGTTAGTGAATGCTGCAAACTCTTGGAAAAACCCAAATCCATCCTTTATAACAATCTTTTGACATTATTGTAACATTCCTCCACCATAGCTACTGTCATACATGGTCATAGTTTATCTTTAAGTTTTGATTGCTGCTATTGTCAAATTTACAGAAAAGAGAGGGGTTTTATTTTCTTTGTAATACTGTTTTGTAATATACAATTAAGAAATGGCATCAGTAAGATAAGTCATTAACATGTAAAAAACAATGATGAACAATACATTCAGGAAAAAACAGTTGGTAATGTGACTTTGAAATTTGCTAGTCTTCACTTAAACCTTCTTCCTCTTGCATCTTTGTAAGAAACAGAATAAATTAATCATAAGAAGCTGAGTAAAACCTTAGGGCCTAATTTCATTTGCACATAAATTTACAGTGAAATCACCATGGTTGGTTCTTGTTTTGAAAAAGCCATTATACTGTAATCCTCCTCTAGTCTTAGGAGCAAAAAACCCCTGTAACCTATAGTTACATTTTTACTTTTTCTGCTGCAATGTGATCTTCTGCCGTAGAAATAATACTAATATTTGGATAACCTTTTGTTATCTCTGAGAAAGATGGTGTATGATATTCAGAAATAGTTGTTGGATAAAACTACTCATAATATACACATCATACTTCTTTAAGAAGTATCTCTTTTTTTGGCACCTGTTTACTCTTTGGCTATTTTTGTACCCAGAAAATTATAGTGAGTAATGGTATAAAATACCTGTTTTGTAACTCACATAGAATTCCACTAGTATGAAGCAATAGATGAATGCCATTTGTTTCTCAGTGTTTCTAATCAACAAAAATGCTTTTTCTTTGGATCATTGGATAAGTTTTGTTGTACAGACATCAATTTCCTGTGTTCCTACTTTGTGTTCCTAGAATATGAGAGACCCTTAGTGTGTAGTTAAGTAAAGCCCACAAGTATTTGGCAGAATAGTTTGATGGGCAAGAGAATGGAAAAATACATTTTTTAAACTTTTTCTGGCATAGCTGAGAAAATGTATGTAATTATAAGAAATTATAGAAAAGTTGAATCATATAGAACAGTCACCTATATTAAGTCTTTGGCAGTTATGTCATGAAAATGCATTTTCAGTACCCTGCAGAATAAGAATTCCCACACATTTGTAATACTTGTGTTTCCTCTGCAAATACATATGTTCTTACTCATCTGTTTCAAGATATCTAGCTAACTTTTCTTAAATGTTTGGGTTTTTTTAAACCTTCAGACTGCATATTTTTATGAAGGTTTATCCTATTTAGCATCTAAAGACAAAATATTGTATCTAGTGTATGGTATTAAATTTTTTGAAAGGGATCTATGCAGAGCTATTGTTCCACTACTTGGTGTCAGAAATATCTCACTTTGCCTAAGATAGGCTTTAGACCAAAATAGCAGCAGTTAATAGCTAAGAAATGAGGGAAGAAAAAGATATTTCTATCATGTACACATTGTATTCATTTATATCAATAAATCAGCAAGGGGAATTGATTGGGATTGCCTTTGTTCCATCACATTTGAATTGTTTCACAGGTTAGCAGTTAGGATAAGAGAAACATATGTTTAAAGAAAAAGAGTTCTAGACAGAGTAATAGACTTCTTTAAGATGTTATATTAAAATGAAAGCTGTATAAAAAAATCAATTATGTTGGAACTTCAGGTCAGATTATTGATTCGGAGTCTTCCTTTATACTTGCTGTAATTATAGTGTAACATTTTTCTTTTGTGGTACCAACCAGAAAGCAGACTTGGAAAGTTAAGTAGGCCATTCTTATTAACAGATTTTAGATTAATACTCTTTGTATGTAGTATGGGTAATTTTTGCCATTTTCTGTAAATTGCTACAGACTAATGTGCTTGAACCATTGAACCAAGTAGTAAAAATGTACTAGGATGTTAAATACTTCTACATATTGTTTTTTATCCTGGGCATCCTTCCCATTTTTAGTAAGCAGTTAGTTTTACATAATAAGCATGCCCAGGAGTTATGATAGAAAACACATTAAAATAACTAATGATTTGATTTTAGAAGTATTATGAGATCCTCTAGAAAGAGGATATGTGGATGAATCTTTGTAGTGATCTATCTCACCTTGCATATTCTCACCACAGGAATAGAAGGGGAACTCAGAGATAGTTGTAATCTCCCTCTAGTACAATAGCATTTGCAAGAAGTGCCCATAAGAACCACTTGAGTGTTTATTTTTAAAGGTAATTTCATATATACTATAATAAAGTGGTTCATCATTCTTCATTAGCAAACCATTAGCTAAATAACTGACTTGTGATTAAGCAATAAGATAAGTACTGATAAGGCTGTGATAAAATCTGGTGTGATTACTTTTACTTTCATCCAAGAATCCTGCAAATAGACGATGTTTCATAAGTCCTGACAGTTTCTTATACAGTAGGGCAAAAAAGTATTTAGTCAGCCACCAATTGTGCAAGTTCTCCCACTTAAAAAGATGAGAGAGGCCTG